CCCCCTGTTTATAAGCCCACCCAAAACCCCTTATGAAGTGATATAAGCCCTGGGGCCCGTTTCTCGAAAGCCCCGCAAACTTTTCAGGCCCAGAAAGCCACAGCAAAATCTCAAATCTTATGATTACAGAACTGTTTATTCCCATATATGTATATTCCTAACATGAAGAGAGGTTCTCTTCATACAAAAAGTTTCAGGTGTATATACATTTGTACCTCTCTGTTTTTAGACACAGACTGGTTAAAAATGACTTTCCAGGCCTGAAAAGTTTGCGGGGCTTTCAAGAAATGGGCCCCAGGGCCTTAACATGGAATTTACAGTATTTAACAGATAAATTAAGTAAGCCTTGACTAAGGCTTCGTAAAGTAGAAAGCACACAACAAAATGAAAACCACATGAAAGGAGTTCCAATTCCATTGAAACCTGTACTGCACCCACTGCTTTACAATTATTGTTCCAACAATGTACATGTACATGTACATATACTTACCCCCTGAAGAGAAAAGCCAGCAACGGCCCTGCCAAGTCAAGTCTCTTATTTCCATAATGATCACGATCATCCAGTTCCCTCCGACCAAGTGCTGCAAGCAATAGCCTATGAACCATGTAGCTGTACAGAAGATACCACACAACTTGTTAAAAAATTTAGCCACGTAAATTATTGTATAAATTATTTGGGTGGCAAGGATGCTGATCTTGGAGAAAAAGTGGGGTACCATGATCACAAAAAGGAAGATATCAGGGCTCAAAATAATTTTTGGACCATCGCCAGTTATGTTGACCGGCCAAAGTAATTTTAGCTTGGTCACATCTCATTTCTGACTGATCAAGGTATTTTAAAAAAATTAAAGTAATGATGGCCTATGAACAGCTTAGAATTTAACCAAAGATAGCCTTAGCAGGGCTCAGCAGCCCAATGAAGTGGCCCGCTGTCAGTGGAATTCTTTCATTTCTGCCAAAGAAAAAGATTGATCAAACTTTGAACTTTGCGATTGGTATATTGAATTCAACGAGCTGTTGTTTACATGCTCTACAAAGTATTTGTGTCCATGAAACGTAAATGAAACAAAACATGCATCAACATATCCTAATTTTGGGTTTCAGAAATAACTAGGTAAACAAATATAACCGAAGAAGAAGTTTCTTTTTCCTCGATCCTCACCCATGCCAACACACAACAAATTGTTGCATTACTGCAAATATGGCTACAGTTCCACAGCACATGTTGGGAAGTTTCTTAATGATGTGACTAAAATTAAGTTCTAAAGACTGTGTAAGTCATCAAAAATCTAAACTCTGTTGTGGTCATATATAGAGAGTCTTCGTTCATTCGGTAGATTTCGGTCACGTGCTAAGCAACGAGTTGAGAGTGTCTCAAATTTCATTCGCAAACAAAATAACTTAACAGATACTGTACAGATAAGGCATTCAAATTTCTGTTGGTTTATAATTATTTTCATCCATTTTGTAACAGTAACTTTTTGTGGCTAGTGTTGCTAGGCAACACTAGCCACTATGTTATTTCAGTTGGTTCTGATTTAGACACTGGGTTCGCGATCAATGTTACATTTATGGCTTGATGGAAACAAAGCAGACTGCAAGCAAGTTCGGATGTCCTGGAATCCCATAGTACTTAAGTAAAACACTTGACAAATGAGCGAAATGTTTTGTTTAGACATCTTGTTCGTTGATTTTTGTGTCAAAAAAGTGAAAGAAACAACAAATGTCTTGACATACGCTAACAAAGTGTGACAGTTATGTAAATCTAAAGCGTCACAAAAAGCTGAATGTGGTCGGATTCCCTTTGCTGTATGGATAACCTCTGCCTTTTGAAAGGCTGAATATTTTTCCAAATTGAAACCTTTGCCTTTGGAACAGATGAATTTTTTTTTTCAAACAGATAGCAGCGGCTGTTTGAACAGCTGAATATTTCCTGCACAGATAACCCCAGTCATTTGAATGGCATCCTGTCGATCTTAAAGGCATGACAAACGGCAAGAGAACAAAACAGATACTGCTGGTGTACTTTTTCACATGGGTAATAATTATTGTATTTTTACAAAGATATAAAATCTAAGATTTATTACATTTGAGGATCTGATTGTTTATTCAAGAATGAATTGCATGACAGTGTCAACATGATGTGACCAGTCAACATTAATGGCGAGTGAAGTTTTTGGCCGGTCAAGTCACCATTCTGTCTGGACATGGTCTGTTGACTGGCCGTTATTTTGAGCCCTGAGATATGATCCCTCACCCTAAGAAGTAAGCTTTCTTGGTTTCACAGAAATCACTGACACCAACATGAGGAAGCATTTCCTTCTGAAGGATTTCCTTTGCATATTTGATACGCTTCTCCTTTGTCACACCAGGCCTGGCACCACGTGAGCCAATGAAGTTTAAAGCTACATTCTGTTCCTGTATCACAAAAGCTTCATCTAGTGATGGTTTTACCTACAGTCGTAGCAAAGAGAAACAGCAGATAAGCAATAAATAAAAGAAATCAGGGGTTCCATTAACAAAAGGTCTGGATAGTAGCAGACATGATAAAATATTTAGAAACAACACAACATTTTTAAAAACCTAGGAAGGCAACTGGTTTTCACAGGTGAGCAAAACTATTAGAACTGAACTTCTTTGTAAGAAAAACGTTCTGCAGATGGTCAAACCAGCCAGGAAAATTGTCCTCACAGCCGGTTAATTTGCCAAGTGCCTGGCCCTTAATAAAACACCTGCATAAATAACATAATTATACCACTGCTCTGTCAGTACGGTCTAGGTGCAGTTCTCTTTAGAAATAATGTGATTTATATTTCAATGATCTCATATTCTGCTGTATGACTAGTCTGTGAGATTTTGGACAGTATTTATAGGGTTGTTGCCAATTTGTTACTTGAACTGTTTCCACCAAAAACGTTTTATAACAAGCACTATTACTAAAATTGGTTCTCACCATTTCCATCATTTCTGGATCATCAAAGTCATAAATAATATGTTCCAAAATGTCACGATCAGCCACAAAACCTAAAGCTCTGAACACAATCATAATTGGGATCTCCTGTCTGATGTATGGTAATGATCCAACAATCCGTTGACCAATGGCACTTTTGCGACCTCCCTGGCTTCCCTTTGCCAACATGGATACCCACATGGTGCTAGTGGGGCGTGAAGAATGTTCCAGGCAGGACCTGATCTCTGCAGTAAATGAATACTTTGAATCCTTTTTGGAGAATACATAAACTGTATTCGTAGCCATTTTCTCTTGAGCGATAAGTACTTTTTCAGATCCGTTGATAATGAAGTAGCCCCCTGGATCCAAAGGACACTCGTTAAGTTCTGTTAAGTCACGATCTGTCAGACCATTCAGGAGACAGTAAGTGGATCGCAGCATGATTGGTATTTTACCAATGAACATTTTACTGTGTTGTGTGACTTGAGGGTCATCATCTTCCCTGATCATTGTTTTTGTAATATCAACATATAGGGGGGCTGAATAACTGCAAACAAAAAAAGTGGAAAATCAAGTTTGATGCAACCTTGATCACCAAACAGTACCAAACAAACTGGATTTTGCACACTTTGACAGTTTGTCATTATACTGAAAAGCAACTTTCCAGTTATATCATTTTGAAATAATGGACAAGAGGTAAATCAGACATACATAGAGCTACATGTACATGTAAAACACATTAAAAGATTGTAGTCTTTCATGTGGTAACCATTCACTGTTCCACTTACGTTAAATTCCTAAGTCTTGCTTCATTCGGCATCATGGGGCTTGGAGCACCATCTTTTTCCCAATGTGTTGGTTTTGATAGATAAATTTGTTCAAACTTCAGTAAGAATCTTGGCTGAAAGTAAATTATTCTACATCAGAAAAGACAAGTATGTTTTTTACACTGTAGTAATGTTCAAGTCAGGCATTGCTAATAACTTTGAAAATCAGAATGCTGGACTCTTGAACAACTGCACTTTTCACCTTTCATCTTTCAGAACAAAAAAAATTCCTTTCAAGGGTTTTCATCTTGACGTGAGCTGTTTACATGAAAAAAGATACATCAATCACCTAGGGTGACCCTTAAATTCCAGAAGTCCATCAATCCCTGCTAAATAGAACGTTGTATTCTACAGGTGAAAAGAAGAGGGGCAGCCAAGCAATCCTCATAACATGACAAGAGTAGAAGATAGGAGAAATGAGGGACTGATGAGCATGGTGAGCGAGAAGACTAGAAGGGGACAGGGGCGGGGGGAGGACTGTTAAGTGCTTGCTAATAAAACCCTGAGGAGTGTAGTCTTATATTTAAGTTACACAAAAGCATGGATTCTGCTGAGCCCTAGTGTATAATTTTTTCACAAGCAATGTTTGTCACTGTCAGTTATTCCTAAATATATGACAAAACTGACTACATTAGACATAGATCATAGTCACACGACCTTGTGAAACAAATCTATAACAACATTCTTGATCATGATTGGTTCTCTACATGCCTATTTGTCGCGTAATCCATGTGCAATCACATGGGTGACCAATTCCAGGTTACAATTTCAACTTTTGAAGGGAAATTTAGGAGCCCCTGGGTACAGAGTCTTGATGTGCCAGTTCCAAACAGTCCTGTGAATGCTGGATCCTGATTGGGCAAAAACAAATCCTTAGTTCCCCAGGGCTCCTCGCTTTCTCTCCAACTTTTCTTTGCCGATTTTTACGCCCTGCTTCGATTTTCCCTTGCCCCTACTAACTACCCCTGGCTTTCTGAGGATGACACAAGGAGAACAACTATCAACAATCACGCCAAGTTCCACATCAGCCACAGCCAATTTTAATAAAATTTACATTTATTATCCCTGGCATGATGTCCTTTATAGAATACCTCTAATTACAATGATGCATGTCTGCAATTTCTTTTTATTTTGGTACCAATATACAAGGGATGGAGAGAGCTTACTCGGCAATTTTCGTTTTTTTAACAAGGGTCAAATTAAAAAATTGCAGTCGTTTGCAACAAAAATTGCCCAGTGTGCACCGGGCTTCATTAAGTTAACTTTAAAAATACAGTTCAATCATAGTGTGTATGCTTACAGGAGTTTCCGTGTCAGCAGTCATGTGCAGCGACTCCGCTTGCAGGTCAATCTCCGGGGAGTCTTCTACAATTCTCTGTACAGACATCTGGATAAACTCGTCAAAGGAATCCAACTGCTGCCGAACGAGACCTTTCTCATCAAAATACGAACTGATGACAATCCAACAGGCTTCCTGCCATAGATCCCGAGTAATTTCCTCACCCTCTTCCTCTCCATATCCACCTTCTAGAAGTATGAATGGATAAAAAGGCAACTCGATGTTTTGATCGAAATTTGTAGATAAAAAGCAACCAATAAAGTAACTGAATCAACAGCTTATTTCTTACCGTCATCTGGGTCATACATGGCTGCCAGATAATCGTTAGTTACTTATGAACTTGGTGAGGTCTTGACTTTGGAAGATGACGGTGAAATGTTACCGATTCACATGGATTTCTTCCGCTACCACTATATAACCGCTCGCTTCCGCCATTACAGACGTTGCGCGAAGCGTCCGAGGGGAACCTGGGATTTCAAGAAAGACAATGCGAAGGTGCAATGCATTATGGGATGAAGAATGGACTTAACGAAAAAGACGCCAGAAGTCAGCACAACAAAAGGCGGGATTGTTCTTACACGACAAGCTTGAGCACTTCATGAAAAGCTTACTATGGAACCATAACATTGTATTCAAAGGTAACCAACTACTTTCGTTTTCTCGTGCATTTGTTTGGTGTTGTTACGCAATGTTACGGTAAACTCAAAAGTTAACACTTTGATGAAGTCCTCCAACCTAGTGAACTCTGGGTTTCGATGGTAACCACCGACCTACAAGAGAGCACGCTTTATCTTTCAAAACCAGGGGTTCACAAAGTCGAAAAGATTCGCCAGTACCTCGCTGATTATTAATTCATGGCGACTGATCGATGAGTTACCGGCAAATGCGCCAAGGAAATCGACATGAAATTTGACACGTCGTTTTCGAGGTTTAAAGTGAGTTCATCGAGGAAGCTTCGCACGCCATTTCTATTAGACTTTCTAGAAAGGTAATTTCCGGTTATGGATTGACCTTCATTTCTCTCGTTCAGTGAAATCTTAAGTTTACGAATTAGTTTAAACGTTTTGTTGTATTCGGGTACAACCTGATCTAGATCTAAATGATGAGGTACAATTTTTAACAAGATTTATAGATTTAGCGCGATATCTGATCTTCAATTAGAATCTTTTGGTTCTTTCGATTCCGCAATTAACATTCCTTTCACTTAAAAACAGAAAACAACAATTGATCGAGAATTTGATATTGCATGCATATTACATGTGCGGCTTTATTTTAGTGTAAAAGTACGCACATTACACACACAAGGTTTCACCTTGTACGAAACTAAACTATCGAGATGCTAAGTTAAGAGCCCTTCCCGTTCACCGTGTGTTCAGAAAATAATGGTTGGTAAATGTAAACAAATTAGGCTGTCAGGGTAGTTTCTAGAGCGCTGATTTACTGGGATTCTTTCAATGGTTTGCAATTATGTTCTGAAGGATATTATATAGAAAGTAAACTAATTTAAGAAGAAATTCCCAAGAGCCGTATTTACTCATATTACGCTGATGTTCAACAACAACAACAATCTTTATTTCGTGCCCAGAAAAATTTTACAATAAAAATAAATACATGCAATGTGAAAAAATAACAATGAAAAACAGGGCACAGCCACTTAGAAATAGCTAAGGCTAATCGAGCTAAGTGGCTGGGCCAAGCGGGAAAAGAATATTGCAATAAAGTTACAGAATATAAAACAGGACACGATTTCATTCACACACACACATACAAAGAACAAAAAAAAGAAAAAAATGAGTGTGCATCAATGTACCAGTCAGTAGTCAATGCATTCAAAACAGGCCAATGTTCTTCAAATGACGATGAGTCAAAGCTGCTTAGTAATAGAGGTGTTGTACACATAATGAACATTATTTGTCAACGATCGACAAGATTGTTTACTTACTTACCGTTTATAACCGCTATTATTTTGATTTTCGCATGATTTTAAGATTTCCAACTTTTTGTAAATAAAATATTTAGTATATTATTTTGGAAGCATTTGCACAAGTGGCACTTACATAGGTAGACATGTTTACCACTAATATACTAAAACCAAAGCAGATTTTTTACGGGAAGAGCATCGTGTCAACATTTTCAAGAAGTCTGTATTAGTAGTGATCAGAAATTCTGCTGAATCATGTAGCAAAAACAGTTTGACTTGTTTCATGATATACAAGAATGACAAGGCAGGCAAGGGGTCCAACATTTACAATGGAGAGGCCAAAATAACAATAGTCAATGATCTTTAATGGTGTAGGTTCTCTGTTGTTTGTGGGACTAATACAATAGAATATCTTTTGCATTTGTTTTACAATGATGTATTTGTAGACTGTTTGGGAAATTGTGTCTTGCCTTGACTAGATTGAAAGAATTTTTACCATCCAGAGGGTGGCAAAGGGTTTATATATGACACGTGAAGAGGGCAAAAATTGGTATTTGACAGGATGCATGAATTTATTTTAAAAAGTATGGTTTAAAGAAGCTAAAAGTCTATGTGACATGTGAATGTTGTTAAAATCCCAGAGTGAAACAGAATCGTAATCTCTCCTTTACTACCCTCCACCCGGAGAAATCTGAAATCAAAATTTTACATTGACTTGATGCAAGAGATGGCATCAAGCAAGGATATTTTTGTGGTCATTGCTGCAGAGTTTTGCAGCTCTTTACTCCCTTGTTTTTTTGGGTTTTTTTTGGTATCAGTGCTGCATTTTAAATAAAATTATTGCTTAACATTGGATGCTATAAAGTTAATTTAAGTTAAAAATTGGCTACCAATTTCTCAAATTACCCCCTTTTCTTTACATATTTTCTTTATTATGTTATTCATGACTTGTTGTGAGTGGTTACAGCGCTTTTTTCTTTACCTGAGCACAAGGTTTTAAGTTTTCTAAACTAAGTAATGCATTTTGCTTTTTGTCGAGAATTGGTTTTGTGAATGAATTTTTTTCATCCTTTTACCGAATTTTGTTGTTTTAATGAGAAGTGGAAAGAGGAGGGATTTGAAGAATCCTGGCCCACAAAGTATTTCCCATTTTTGAAAACTTTAGACATATAGATGTTTCAAAACTACTGCTGCAAGGTTTGTCACGGCGATGATATTATTTTAACATTTAATTTTTCTGGGCTCTTTTCTACCGCAGGAAACAACTACCAGTGAATTATGGGCATTTCTGCAAGCATAGCAAATTCTTCGAGAAAGTACCGCACAAATGGTGATTTACCACACCGCCAGAGGTCCAGCAAACATTCATCCATTGAAGTTGGTGATGAACTTGAAGATGATACAGCCAGTGTGTCAAGCTTTCGACCTTCAAGCCCATTAGCTCATCAAGATGCAAGAGCCTTTACTTTAGATATGCCACATACAAAACAGCGAGACTCTAGAAACCAAGCAGACAGACGTAGTTACAACAGCAACATTGAGTCCAGCTATCCTGGTAATAGACGCAGTTACCATGCTGGTAGTGTGGAACGTAGTTCCAGAGCTGGGAATGGTTCGCATTCCTCATACAGTGTTCGAGATCCAAGCTCCAGAGCTTTGGTTTCTCAGAGTGCTTCAAGTGTCTATGGTTCAAGGCTGGGACCTGTCCGTACCATGCGAGACGTCCGAGAGTTTTTGTTGAGTAATCCAGAGCTCCTAGCTGGTAAGAAGAACAGACAAATGAGGCAGTCTGGAGATAGTGATCTGTATGGATTATCTAACAATCACAAGCAGATGAAAACAAAACAGAGTGTTTACATGGGACTCATAAACCCTCCAGTGGTCTACGGAATTGGTGTCAGGCCAGACAATCGACAACTTCGAGTTGATCAAAAGCTGTATCTCAACCTTGTTTACCCTACTATTAGACCAAAAGAGTATCATCAGCGTGCTATAAGATCTCGTCCTCCCCTTAAACAAGAAGGCATGGTTGTCGTGAGGAAAGATGATCATTTGCGGCAACCAAATGGATATATGAAAAGGCCTCTACCGCGGATGGAAGTGTCAAGACTACACGAACCCTCCAAGGTAATGAATTCCCCTGAATCAGTGCAGCATGAAAGAACAATCCTCAGGCATGATGCTTCAACCTATCAGGGAAGTAGAGGTCAGTCACAAAATTTGGCCAAGACCGCCTCCAAAAGAGGAAGCAATGACTACGTTGATTTTCCGGATATTGTCCAGGAGCCACTCACAAGTCGGTCAGTTAAAGATGAAAGGCGAGTGCTTAGGGACAAACAGATGAATGGTTTTGTCAAGACAGGGAATCCAGACCAAAAGATTGAAAGACAATTCAGTGGCAGGGGTGAGGATGATGTTGTATTTACATTCAGTGTGGATGATCTAGATTTGAGGAAAAAGACTGAAGTACCCCGTTTGGAACATGAGAAGGATAGAGGACAAGTGGTACCTCTTTACTTCAGGAAGTCACTGGCTTACAGTCCCAAGTATGAGCACAGAGAAGACCTTTTGTCAAGTCCATTGTGAAGATGTGAAACTCATTGCCTTTCAACTGATGGAGGGCCAGTTTGAACATACTAAAGCTTGCATTAAAAACTGAGTGAGAGTAGGAGGAGTCTACATGTAAAGCCAATAGCCTGCAAATGTAGTAGCTGATAGTGTATGCTATCATCAGTGCGGTGTAGGTAAAGTTGATTGGTTTCAACCACATACGCAACACTGAACAGGCATGGACAATCCATCAAATATAAAAGAGACTGTGATATTTTATTAAGACATTGTTGTGTGAACTAACATATATTTTGTGAAACTCTGTTTACTATCTACAGGCGCTGTATATTCTGTTCACATCACAACTTTGGACAGATGTATCATGCACATAATTATATTGTTCATATATCGTTACAGACCCTAGGCTGTCAGGGAATGCAGGTTCATTTAGAAGGAAAATTATCAACAATAAAATGTATTCCAAGTGATTGATTAATCTTTGTTCTTCATTGATTAATTGCAAATGATCCATAATAATTTTTTCATATGGTTGTTCATTGATTGATTGCAAGAATAAGAAAATCTTGAGCTTGTTGTCAAGTTGTCAAATCAAATGTCTTAAAAATTGATCAAAAACATGATAGTACATGTATGTAATGTACACCAGTTTCATACTTGAAATTATACAACACATAATAACACTGTAC